GATTGGCCGCGTGCAGTCTCGAGAAAGACGAATCCGTTTGCCCCGATGGTACAGGAAGAAGTGAGATCGCTTGGTACTATGATCTTACTTTGGCCGCGTGTCAACAATTCAATTACAGTGGATGTGGTGGTAATAATAACCGATTTGTCTCTGCCGAAGACTGTACGCGAACCTGCAACGCTCGAGGTAAGTAACTCCAAGTTTGGTTTTCTCATTTCTCTCACGTTTCATTTTTATTGCTTTTAGGTGGATAACAGAGTGAGAAATCGAAGATTCAGGTTCGAATTCCACTCGGACTCTTGACAGACACTTACGCGAAACTACCCTTTGGGAAATGTAAGAATCCATCTCTTCTTCCCCAGCTGTGGGTTAAATAGCAGTGCCTGGAAAAATCATTGTTATTCTAAAAAAAAAATAATACAATATTCCGTAGCAAAAGAAATAATCTTGCAATTCAAACATATGTCTCGGCTTTAAATAACACACAAAGAGTTGATAAACAGTTAAAATCAAATCAATCAATAATATAATAATAATTATTTTCCTGCGAGTGAATATACTATTTAACCCATAAAAGAGGGATGAGATAAATTCATATCTTTTCCAAGGGTATTTGCGCGTAAGTAATATGCTCTTGTAAAAATAAAGCATTTCACAGACTATATTTTCTGGGATGATAGAATGAGCCGATGTTCGAAGAGTGAAATTTGACTGGAGATAACACGGGTCTAATGATGAAATGATACTAACATGGTCTTTTAGATATTGATAGTTATAAGCCAAGTGTTTTTCCCAACTGAGCTGTTTGTGCTAAAGTCAGATAAGACGTCGGCTGCAAATCTGTGATCATCTTGGTTCTTGGAAGTGAATCCATAAATTATGGTTATCATCATAGATGTTTAAGGATGCTTAAAACAATTACATATATATATATATATATATATATATATATATATATATATATATATATATATATATGGTGGTACTCGTTTGAAAACCCTAGGATAGCTCAACTTGCAGTAGAACAAATTGGTACCCGAGTAAAAATGGGGAATAAAAAAAGAAAGAACCAAGAACATTAAACCAAGGCGAAAACAATCGACGAGTGTTCAAGCTCCAAGTCCAAAGAAAAAAAAACAAAACGAGTAAAAAGACAAATACGTAAAGTGCGCAATACACAAAGTAGAGCAAAACCTAAGATAATCCTAAGGAGCCAGGCAAACCTACCTAGGTTTCACCTAAACGGATCTTCAGTGTAATCCTGGTCCTTGAATTACCCGGATTACCCTGAAGATCCGTTTAGGTGAAACCTAGGTACGTTTACCTGGCTCCTTAGGATTATCTTATATATATATATATGTGTGTGTGTGTGTGTGTGTGTGTGCGTGCGTGTGTGAGTGTGTTCGAAAAAGCGCTGCCGCATTTGAAGATGGTAGTGAAAAATGCTTCTTTGATCTTAATTGATACATTTAATTTTAATATAATTTTTATATATTATTATTATTATTATACCGTTGACATATCAAGAGTTGAGCGAGAGAAGCGAAAAGATATGTTGCTTTTCTGAAAGTAGACCCTGCGTGGAGAGATGCTTAACCAATTTGGAATTGATTAAAGACTCTATTATTTTGTCAAAAAGAAGAAGGCAGCTCATTAGCCGGTAGTTGGTAATATCAGATGGTTCACCCGAGTTCTTAAAGACTCGAAATATAGAAGAAAATTTCCAACAAGTAGAAAAGCAAGAAGCTGTAAAGTAAAGCATTTATTGTAGAGTTTAGAAAGAGCATGTGTAATTTCAGGGGCACATTTCTTAACGACTATTGCATGTATACCATCAAATTTAGACGTGTTGTGAGGATCTAGTTTAGAGCTGATAGCAGAAGCCATGGACAGAGTGATATGAATAAAACTCAGTAGAGACTAAATGGAAAGTCAGGCAAAGATACTCCAGATGTGTCAAGAGTAGCATTGGAAGATAATTTACGAGCAAAACATTGTTTTATCAACAGAAGATGATAACACCTCAAATTGAAGATCGGAAAGATAGAATACTTACTCTTATTTACCACACTATTACAGAGTCCAAGATTAAGGTTAACCTTTATCTGCCATTCCTATACACACAAATGGCTTCCAAATGTAACCCTCTAACTAGAGTGTCCCCTGGGTCTTGTAAAGGGTGAACCCCGTTGTAAAAAAAATCGTTACTATACCAGCAGTTGACCAAGAGAAGCGAATCTTAAAGAATACTTTGTGATGCGACATGCTTAACCAAATCAATGTTAATAAGAGCCTCTAATACTTTGCCAAAAAGAGATAGAAGGCTGATAGGCCGAAATTAGGATCAGATGGTTCAGACTGGAACTACAGAAGAGGATTTCTAACAAGGAGGAAAGCAAGAAGCAGCATATAATTTATTGTAGAGTTTAGAGAGAACAGGAGTCAATTCAGTAGCACTTTTGTCATGGACTATTGCTGCGATACCTTCAAGTCCACATGCTTTGTGTGGATCTGAGTTATATGCATATCATACAACAGAGATTCATTTATATGTGGAAAGTCAGGCAAAGATACTCCAGATGAGTCAAGAATAGAATTGGAAGAGAATTTACGAGCAAATTATTGTTTTATTAACAGAAGATGATAACGCTTCAAATTGAATGAAGAGAAGGATAGAATACTTACTCTTATTTAAAACACTATTACAGAGCCGCCAGTAGTGACGATAACCGACTTATTAGCGGCTATACAGTGCCTCATTCTATCCTCTTTGAGGATATGTTTACAATTATTACGAACAGATACAAAGAGGCGTCTGTTGTGGTCGAAACTAACCCGTTGGTACAGCCAGAAATAATCATAACGGCTGGACAGGCCGGTGTGAACTAAGGATAAGATTGTGGTTTTCACTGGTATTTCCGAGAATGCACAAAAGCATCAGTACCGACTTTTTACCCAAGAAGAAATCTCAGTGACAAAATTTCCAGTCGAAAGGTTAAACATTTCACTGAAAACTTCGTTAAATCAACTGAGCTAACCTAATTCTGTTCCTCTGTCACATTACCAGAGTTGTCATATTGAGGAAAAGTTGTATACCTTACATCGTAGCTCATATAACTTGTCATGGTAGCTCAAGTTACCTGTTATGGTACCACAAGTGATCCGTCATAGTACCTCACGTAAGCTGACATGTCACCCCCAGTAACATGAATATGGTAGCTCAAGTGACGTGTTATGGTAGCACAAGTGACCCATCATGGTACCTTGAGTGACTAGATGACATGATAAATAGAATATCAGAACTATAGCAGCAAACAGAAAGATCCGAATCGGAATCTCCAAATTTGAGTTTCCGAATCGAAAGTTCCAAATACGAATTTTTGAATCGGAAGCTCCGAATATAAAGTTCTGATTGGGAAGCTTCAAATGCGAAGTTCCGAAAGAGAAACTCCGAATATGCAGTTCCAAATCGAAAGCTCCAAGTACGAAGTTCGTAATCGAAAACTCCAAATATGAAATCTCGTATAACCTGGTTATATTTCTTTTTTTTTTTTTTTTTTTTTTTTGTTTGTTTCAGATGTGTGTACGTTGCCCAAGGATTCAGGTACGTGCTATGCATACAGTCAGCAGTATTACTTCAACCAGAATACGAAAAGGTGTGAAATCTTCGTTTACGGTGGCTGCGGTGGAAACGCAAATCGATATCCCTCGATTGAAAGATGCGAGAAAACATGCCACGCATTGATGGAGAAACAAATTTCTACTGGACCCATAAAATTACCGGATGAATTCAAAGTTGGTAAGCTTAGTTCTGATTGATTTTAATAATAATCACTTAATAAAAGGCGGATTGACAGAAATTTCAAGGACTAATGTAAGCCGTAAGTGTGCGTGTGACCGTGAAAGAATGTCTGTCTTCCCTCGAGGATGTGAAGCACTTTATCTTTCTCCTCGCGAATTATCATCCGCTTGTCTTATTCTAAGTGCAGCTAGTTTGGATTCCTCTTCAGTGCAGCTACTTACATCATTCTATTTCTACTTTTTATTTTTTAAGCGTTTCGCCACAAGCAAGGCCGGAAGCCACTAGCACACAAGGGGTTACAGAGAGTTGGAGCAAGAGCAAATAGGAGTGATAGAGGAAAGGATCAAGAGAAGGATAGGGGATAGATCAAGACATCTGGAGACGTCGATTGACATTACATTTGAATAGTTGGAGATTATAGCGATCAGGGAAACTGGAAAAGGGGAGGGAGTTCCACAGGCGAGAGGTGCGAGACATGAAGCTATTCGAGTAGAAGAGACGGCTACATTTAACAGTTTCGACAGTGAAAGGGTGAGATCTAGATGCCAGCCTAGTTGAACGCTTAAATTCATAAAGTCTGGGAACCAGCAAAAGCATCTCATCGGGGCAGTTACCATGAAAGTATTTGTAAAAAAGACAGAGGGAGGCGACGGCATGTATGTGAGAGAGCGACTGCAGACGAGATGCCAGATCAGGGCTAATTACATTGCATATCCGTCTCTGGATCTTATCAAGAATCTTGAGACAAACAGAACCTATTGACGCACTTAGCTTTTGGGATAGTCTTCAGTGACAGCGAGTGCAAAACTTAGGGTGACCTCTGTACATAATGGAGTGACTACAGATCAACTTCTCTCAAGGTGACATTAAATTCGTTTCAGACCTCTGGAGAGAGTCACATACTACGTATCATAGTTGAAAAATTTCCTGGAATTAATCGGATCGTGTTACATGGTCACCGGTTCCATATTGGAGTTGTGTTGTACAAAAAATTGATATTCAGTAGAAATGACAAGAGATATCGTAAAATCGAATTAACTCGAAAGACAAAATTGATACGACGAATTATCTCTCACTTTAGCATAGATAGCGGAATATGAACAATAAGTTTGAATAAAAGATTCGCTTTGAAATTTCCGGAATATTACCAAATACGACAGAAAATACTATATTTCTGAGATAAGTTATTGTAATTATTTACACTATTTGCTCCGTTTGAGCTGTTGTCCTCATCTTTATTGCTAGATTCATAATTTATTTATTTTTTGTTGTAAATAGTGTAAATAATTGTGACAGAGACGGAGAGTAAGTATAAAGGCTGGATTTTGCGACGATGACAACAAAAATGAAGATATTAGTCAGAAAAAATGTATATTAATAATAATTTCTCAATTCAAATAATCAGAAAAAGGTTTTCTTTATTCAGGATTAAATATTTTGCATTATTTTGCATTATTTTCCCTTTCTCTTTCTTTTCGCATTTCTTTCTCTCTTTTCCTCTCTCTTTCTCTCTTTCTTCGTTATTCGGGCCTCTTTCTTTCTTTGTGTATCATTTTCTTTTCCTGTCGCTTTTTTCCATTCTTTTTTTTTTTTTTTTTAGTTCTTTCTTTCTTTCTTTCTTTCTTTCTTTCCTTCTCTTTCTTCGGTTTTTGTATCACTTTCTTTTTTTCTTTCGTTCTTTCTTTGTGTCTCTTTCTTTCTTTACCTGTCGTTTTCTTCCATTTTGCTTTTTTTCTTCTTTCTTTCTTTACTTCTTCGTTATTCGTGTCTCTTTGTGTCTTCTGTTTACCTGTTGCTTTCTTCCATTTTTCCTCTCGCATTTTTCCATTCTTTCTTTCTTTCTTTTCTAGTTTTTCTTTCTTTTCTTCTTTCTTTGTTTTTCTTTCCTTTCGCATGTTTTTCTTTCTTTCTTTTCCTCTCTCTTTCTTCGTTTTTCGTATTTCTTTCTTTCTTTCTTTGTGCCTCTTTCTTTCTTTACCTGTCGTTTTCTTCTATTTTTCTTTCTTTATATCTTCGTTTTTTGCGTCTCTTTCTTACTTTCTTTCTTCGTGTGTGTGTGAGAGAGAGAAAGAGAGAAAGAGAGAGGGGAAGGCAGAGAGAAAGAGAGAGATAAAGAGACATTGGGGAGAACACATTCTTCAATGACACATCTAAGATTGCGCAAAAAAGTTGCTGGATTTTTCTTTTTTTCATCATAAAGCTAATATTTAACTATTTATTTCGCAGCAATTCTGGTTTGTCATTTGCAACCTGAGAAAGGACCCTGCGAAAAAGACGAAAAGAAATGGTATTACGAAATAAAAGAGGCGCGATGCAGACAGTTCACCTATGGTGGTTGTGAGGGCAACAAAAACCTTTTTGAAACGCAGGAAGAATGCGAAAATCTTTGTAGTCCAGAAGGTAAACACAACTCTCCTTTCACTTCAAGTAAGACGCTCATGAACACTTAGAATGGAATTGTTGTCTTTAGCAGATTACAGGAATTGTTGCATTCAAGGTTGAAAATGATGCGATCAGATGAATAATAATAATAATAATAATAATAATAATATGGGAACATCAACAATCTCTGTTGTAGTTGGAGCCCTAGGATTGGTTGGAAAAGATTCCAGTAGACTAAATGAAGGGATTTCTGGAAGCCCATGCCTCAAAGAAATAAAAAAATTGTTCTCACAAGTGTACAACCCACACTTTACGAAGGGCTTTATCTATGTAATATATATATATATATATATATATATATATATATATATATATATATATATTATTTATTTATTATAATTTTATCGTATAGACAAAACCATTTTACTCACTACAAAGGTAGATAAATGTTTTGTCTATATAATAAAATTATAATAAATAAATAATTATCTCTTTTGGATTAATGCTGTGAACGTTGGAATTTATATGGAATTTTATATTATTTCGTTCTGATCGCATATATATATATATATATATATATATATATATATATATATATATATATATATATATGTCAGTGGAAAGAGGCATGATGCCATTTCTAACTTTAGGTCTCTGGGCGAGAGCCGAAAAGAAATGTGTAAACGCTAGAAATCAAAGGAAATAAAAACAACAATAATAATAATAATAATGGCGGTTCCTGCAAAATTTATCATTGAAGATCTTCAAAAAATCTCTGATGGCTCTTTAAAAAGAAATCTCAAAAATGTGGAGCTACCACTTGAGGTAAGCCTCCATGTTGAATTGACCCTCACCAATAAATGCGAGAGTTCTTTTCTTATCGAAGTAAGTTTTCCGAGTTGCCATATCTTTGTAATCCCCATTAGACTTATCCAGCTCTTTCCGAATCCTCTGCACTGTCCTTAGATTGACACCCGAATTCTCTGAAATGTTCGTATTGGAGCTTCTGGTGTGAATGCCAGGCAGTACAGCAAGCCGTTCCCAAATTTCCGGCGGAGTGAATTACGTCATTATGCTCTTTTTCTCGCAGTTGGTGCCCAACAGACCCTATTGTACTGTGAAGTCGACAAAATCAAAAACAAACAACGCGCATGCTCAAAATTCAAAAATATAAACTGGTGACAATTTACCCATCGCATCATGGCAGGGAAAATGTGAAAACTCTACCAAGCAGTTCAAGTTGTTCCCTTTTGTGTAGTATATTGTTGTGGTGTCCTCCTCCTAAAGAGTCTATGTTGGACTCTTCCGCCTACTATAAAATTATTAGAAGAGAAGGCCTTGGGGGAACAGTAGAATAGATTGAACACTGTGTCAACCGACACGCACTCACTAGCCGTGTAATACTCTTCTGTTGTACTTACTGTTTAATATATGAAATATCTGTAACACTTGATTTGTTATTGCTTTAACCATTTACTTGATCACAACAATATTAAATTGACATTTGGTCATCAGTTAGATTATCTGCTGTATTTTAATGCCACTATATTTTATTTACTTTCTTTGTTCTTTTCAGTTGTTTGTTCGTTCTCAAGGGACAGTGGAAATTGTACACCTTATCACAGAGGCTATTACTTCAATTCAGCGCTCGCTCGTTGTGAACATCTCGCTTATGGCGACTGTTATGGAAATGCAAACAGGTTTTATACGATTGAATTGTGCGAGAAGAAGTGTAAAGATTTGATTACAACACCAGAAATAACGACTCCGACACCAGAACCCACAGTGAAACCGACAGGTAAGAGGAAAAATCTATAATCTATATTAAATGCTGTGCACTTCTGCTAGCCTTCTTTTACATATATATATATATATATATATATATATATATATATATATATATATATATATATTGATTTATTTAAAATATGTTTTTTTCGCTACACAGTTCTAACCATGTTTCAAAAATGGAAGCTAAAAGCTACGAATTTAATTTTGTAATTAAATTAAAGACATTAGTTCCATTTCATCCTCAAGCGAATTTTGGAGTAACTTTTAAAATTACTGGGTTTTAAAGACACAGCTAAAATCATAATTCACGTTTCCAAGGTTACAGATAAATCCACTTCAACTAGACAAGGAATCACGTCACAAAAGATCGAAGAACTTCGTTGGAAGAAAATTCCTCATCCACCTTATTCTCCCGATCTTGCTCCTTCAGACTACCATTTGTTTCGTAGCTTACAGAACCATTTGGAAGAAACAGCTTTTGTAACACAGGAAGAGGTTAAAATTGACATTTGTGAGTTCTTCGAATCAAAGCCAAAAGAATGGAATTAGTAAGCTTGTTAATAGATGGAAGGAAGTCATAGATAATCAGGGAAAATACATTTTTAATTGAATCTGTAATTAAATGTAACATTTGGTCACTTGTTTTCTTTATTCAAAATTCGGACAGAACTTATGGGATGACCTGATATGTACCATCGGATCAGATGCTGAGATCGACAAGTTTTTAACACCTACCTCATCAAACCGAAATTACAAAATGGTCGAATTTTATATTTTGAAGTTTATAAGCAGTAAATTCGACCTTGCCTACCGGACGATCCTTTGTGGCCGATTGGTAAGGCACGTCAGCGTAAATGACGGTTCCGTATAGGATGCAGGTTCGAATCCTGTCAAAGGACGAATATTTTCTATGAAAATTTCTCGGACATTCAGTCCGGTAAATGTTATTTAATACTGTTTATTATAAACAGAGCATTTACTTAAATACTTGTATCTATAAAAAGAACGTTAAACATAAAAATGTCTTTAATAAAACAAAAACTGTCTATGAAATTAAAAAAAAATAATAACGGAACCTCAGTACGTTTTTATCACCTATCATACTGTAATAGTTAACATAATAATATCAATGTATAATTAACGACCTTGGTGAATTTGATCTTCACTAGTTGATCGTGTACCAAAACAAGTTTAGTATCTCTATCTATAACTTGTAAGTGTTTGTTCGTCAGTTCGCAATACACGGTCAAACGATTGTACGTTATATATATATATATATATATATATATAATACAAAAAAGTTAATGGTCAGAGTTGAACTTTATCAGTTGACCACCCAAAGCTTTATTTTAAAAAATGAATAAGCGCTAAAATACTTTAAAAATAAATAAACAGACGGACAACGCTGCGTATAATAGAAAGGGAGAAGAAGGGATGATAACCAAACAAGGGTATTATAAATGCATAGTTAAATTTTTTTATCAGGCCTCATAGGTGCTTAAGATGAATTTTTTTAGTATGTATGCAAGGACTCATGACTTCAATTTTCTGGTTCAAAAGTTTCTTTGGATACGTAAATGTCATAATGGCTAATTTTTCCTGTTGGCAGAGCTCAAATAATATTGTGGTTGTTGTAAGGCTGAGCGTTTTTTGAAATTTTCCACTTTACAATCGTATTGTTTAAACATTGATTCATGTTTAAGCTTCAGAGAAGAGATGATTTTTAACAAGACAAAAAACAACCAAGATATCAGCTACAACATAGAAATATTAAAATCAAGCAATTGTAGAACTGTAAATATCTGGGAAGTCTTTTAACAGATGCTGGAAAGTATGAGACTGAAATCTGAAGGCATGAAAGATATCCTTCCAAAAGTGAAATAATCAGTTAAGAAATATAACAATTAAGTTAGAAACAAAGCAAAGAATGTCGAAGGGATATCTAATATAGGTTCTCTTATATGACAATTAATGCTTGACAGTTTCCTCAGAGATGAAGAGAAAACTTGAAGCAACAGGCATGTTGTTCTACAGAAGGATGTTGAGAATATCATGAACGGAGCAACGAATATATTTTAAGAAAAATGGAAAGAAAAAGGAAACTTTCATTTAGAATCACAGAGAGACTGTTGAATACAAAAAGGATAGAAAGGAAAATCGCGTAACCTACCTAACAAGCCAAGTCAGGAAATGAGGGAATAGAGTAAAATATCTGTCTATATTTCTGAGATGAGGTATTATGTACACTATTTACATTATTCGGACTATTGTCCTCATCTTTGTCACCATATTTATCACAACGTTTCGACCCTTCAGTATCTGTCTATATTTCTGAGATGAGGTATTATGTACACTATTTACATTATTCGGACTATTGTTCTCATCTTTTTCGCCATGTTTATCACAACGTTTCGGTATCTGTTATACGCTCCGACCTTTTCAATTGGTTGAATGTTGGATCCGTTTATTTCGCTCCACTTGGGGTAGACTATTTTAGTTCCACGTGCCATGTCTAATGGATGTCACTTATCTCCTCTTAATTCCCCTCTCAAAGTTCGCAAACGCCTTAACCTGGTATTGAACTCACACTCTTTGGGTCCTGTCACTAGATCTAATTAACGCCTTTATCCACTGTGCCATATGTCCGTGAGATAACTGACATCCATTAGACATGGCACGTGGAACTAAAATAGTCTACCCCAGTGAGCGAAATAAAGGATCCAGTTCCAACCACTTGAAAAAGGTCGGAGCGTACAACGGCCGAAACGTTGTGATAAATATGGCGACAAAGATGAGGACAATAGTCCGAATAATGTAAATAGTGTAAAATATGTTATTTAGGGTTGAGAAGCGTAATTCACATAAATAAGAAGTACGAAATTACAATAAAACTGATAAAGACTTTTTAGCTAATGTGGGATAAAATGTTTAATACTTATTCATTTATTCAAATACTTAACGCTGTACCATTAGTACTTCTACCCCCTCCCCCCCACACACACACATATGCACTTTTCTAGATTGATAAACCGTTTCGATTGTGATTTAACTATCAGACGTTAACCTCTGATTTCAGCTGGACTTGCTCACGGCTCGATTATTCAATCATTTTTTTTTTAATTACTATTTTTTCCAACACTTTATAAGAGAAAAATTCTATGTTCGATGCAGAAATTTATTATGTCGTGTAAATATAATGTAATTGTTTTAATTTTTTGACAGTGAGGGATTGTCACTTACCGAAAGCCAGTGGGTCTTGTCGAGCTCGGATATCTGCCTGGCATTACGATATTCAAGACAATACTTGCAAGCAGTTTTATTACGGAGGCTGTGAAGGTAATGCAAACAGATTCGAAACAAAAGACGAATGCGAAAAAACATGCAACGTTTATGGTAAGAAATATTCTTCACATTCACTCTCAAAATCATTCCATAATTATGTACATATGTTAGTTTTTTTTTTTTTTTTTTTTTATTTATTTTTGTCTAAGATGTCGCGAAACTACAGTCCGCGGGACGCATGCAACACGTCTGGGGATAGTATCGGCCAAAACTATTTTTAAAATATCCATTAATAGATTTTGGCATTTTTGGTTACATGTAGCAGAACATAGTAATCTTTTCAAAACAGGAATAAGGACAATGAAGACGGAAACACTATCTATTTAATGACGAACTAGAATGATTAAGAAAATCACTTCCTACAAAATCGGCATAACGTTTCGTCCCGATTTTAATGTCCAATCAACTTCACAGTGTCAACTGATGAAGGGATCTAGGATGCCATTTCTGCGTTTGCTATAAAAGTCTCGTGAGATGTCACGAGTTGCGTATTGCTGTAAAATATTTTCTTAAATATACGAAATCTCATTAAATACATTAAATATTAAACTAATTTCTCCTTGATTTGCTATTTATATTGTCGTTGTGAAACTTCGACGCGGCCCACTTTACACACGGCAGACCATGATGTGGTTCTCACATGGCCATGTACGACGTCATAGAACTGCATTACAAATTTACGACCTGCGTCTGGTATTCCGCGACCGTTATCGTCGCATAGCAAACTTCTATGTAAACAAAAGAGGACGTCATCTTTGATGGTGAACATCTCTGTTGTAATGACCATATAATCACATCTGATGATGGCTGATGTAAGCCGAAAGCTTAGTTCAACGACCAACATAATAAAGAAATATACAAATGTTGGACAGTTTTTGACTTTATTTTCTCTTGAAACTAAAGCCATTATACGACACTAGGAACGGCTCATGATAAAACAATAGACATTGGTTGTCTGCTATATTTAACAATATATGTTTGAATAATGATTTGCTGCCTCTGTCCAATATATATATATATATATATATATATATATATATATATATATATATATATATATATATATATATCGGTTGAGCCCTCTAGGAAAGTTTTTTTTTAAAAAGCAACAGCTCTTACTGCTATTAAGCATTATATTCAAATAAATTGAATTGAGTTCTCTGATCCGCTGGCGTATAAAGAAAAACGTTAAGATTTCCTTCCTTTCTGCTGTGCGACAATGGCCTAGAGGTAAGATAATAACAGACTGTCGTGTTTCAATCCTGGCTTGAAGCAATCGGACGTCTAGCCACACTTAGGAGTTGTGATACAGTGAAACAGTCTGCCTGTGAATGACTATATATATATATATATATATATATATATATATATATATATATATATATGTCTATATTTCTGAGATGAGGTATTATGTACATTATTTACATTATTCGGACTATTGTCCTCATCTTTGTCGCCATATTTATCACAACGTTTCGGCTGTTGTACGCTCCGGCCTTCTTCAGGTGGTTGGAATGTCGACCTGAACCCTTTATTTAGCTCATTGGGGTAGACTGTTCTAGTTCCACGTGCCATGGTTGATGGATGTCAGTTATCAGTTATCTCCTGTTAATTTCCCTCTGGAAGTTCTCCACTGCCTTAACCGGTTATTGAACTCACACTCTTTGGGTCCTGTCACTGGATCTAACCAACGCCTTTATCCACTGTTTCTTGAGGACATCTGGATATCAATTTCTGAGTATTATAAACCTAATGCCTTCAGTAACCATTTTTTACCAGTGCTCATATTGCAATTTTTGATGTTATCATTGCATGCTTTTGCCCGAGCTCATATTGCAACTTTGTTGTTATTATCACTTTTCTCTGGCACTCCTTATTACTGGTTGCCATATTGTATTTATTTCTATGCTTGGTCAAAAATCTCCTGAGCCGACCAAGCATAGAAATAAATACAATATGGGAACCAGTAATAAGGAGTGCCAGAGAAATGTTTGCTCTGTTTTTACATTGAGCTCTATGAATTATATTCTCTTTGGAATTATCCATACGGATGGCCAAATAATATCATTGAGTATCTCTCTCTCTCTATATATATATATATATATATATATATATATATATATATATATATATATATCAATTATAGAAAACAATTATATATATTAATTATAGAAACAATTATACTAACCGGAAAAAAAAAACAGGAAAAGAAAAATCCTTTGGTATACCCTTCCGTTCAACCAAATGGTTAGTATTAAGCTAGGACAGAAATTCCTAGCTTTAATTGAAAAACACTTTCCTACCAATAGTAGACTTAGTAAAATATTTAATAAAAACACCCTAAAATTAAGTTACAGCTGCACTGAAAATCTAGAAAGTATAATAAGAAAACACAATAATAAAATCCTGAATAACCCCCCATGCCAGAATAGTATTAATAAAAACCCTATACTTAAATTAGACAAAAATAGTGAAAAATTATGTGATTGTAGAAACCCAGAAGACTGCCCATTGGAAAATAAATGCTGCGTAAAATCTGTAGTATACCAATGTACTATCTCATCCATTGAGAGTCCTAATACTAATATGATACACATTGGGTCTACGAAGAATGAATTTAAAACCAGATGGAGGCAGCATAAGTGCTCCTTCAACAATATTAATAAAAGAAATCAGACATCTCTATCTAAATATTTTTGGCATTTGAAGGAAATGAATAAAACACCAAAAGTAAAATGGAAAATTATAAACAAAAGTAGAACTTGTAAAACTTGGGATGACCCATGCCATTTATGCCTACATGAAAAACTACACATTATTAAGTTTCTAAATAATGAAAATCTATTAAACAATAGACAGGAGTTAACGGTTTTTTGCCGACATCATCAAATTTTCGCATTGAATAATTAGCATAAAAACAAACAAACAATAAAATAATTTTTAAATTACATAGTCTAAATAAATAGTTTAAATGCCCTACAAAGAAAATAAAAAATGAAAATAATAAATATAACCCTTTATGAAGTCGTCAAAAAAAAAACAAATGTTAGCGACTTACGACAGTTTTTTTTATATACACAAAACCCTTTCAGAAAAAATAATAATAATAAAATAAATAAATCTCCATAGACACTTAACCAGACTAGACGATGTCATCTTCCGCTTTAAATTTAGACACCCCAACCTTACCCTGACTTGACGTCTGTGAATGTAACTGAGATATTGATACAAATTATTAACCTTTACGCCCCTTTTCTTTAAACTATTGCTCTAGCCGTTACCATAGTAATTTTAATTTCAATAATGAATATGCTCATAAAACGCATAAATTTCAGGAATAAGTTATTCCAAAAAAAATTTCGCTTGAAGATGGAACAGAGCTTAGTACTTTAATTCAATTTAATTCAAATAATTATATTGAAGTTTTCGGCTCTTGTTTTGAAACATGAGAACTCTTATCTAGCGTTGGAATCATATTTTTAAATAAATAATTATATTTATGCTAAACTTTTGTATCGAGCACTATTTTTTGAAAAATAATAACAAAAATACTAAAGAACTTTGGATTATTTACCTAACGAGTTCTTTCCTATTTTCTCTATATATTTTTACACACACACACACACACACACACACACACACACACACATATATATATATATATATATATATATATATATATATATGAAGCATGCTTTTATTTATTTTGGGAATTCGTGCGAAGATGTATGAATCTTTGATAGAGATAATTATTTACATGAAACTGAATATGATTTCAATATTTCTTTTCTTTTTTCCCCTAAGATATCTGCAATCTGCCAAAAGAGGGTGGACACTGTTTGGCCTATATGGAACAATATTACTTTGACCAAAATACGCAACGTTGCGAACAGTTCGTGTACGGTGGTTGTGGCGGAAATGCCAACCGATTTGCCTCCCTTGAAAAATGCCACATTATATGCCGGGATCTGATAGAGAAACCAGTCACTTCTCATCCGCCTGTTTCCCGACCACCTCCAAGACCAGGTAATTAAGAAAAAGCAATTCAAATTTATTGACGCATTTCAGTTTCTTAATTTCTTGCAAAAATAATAAATAATTTAACGTTAATGATTGAAATAGTTGGGGAAATGTAGATGGTGAATGCAAAATTTCAGAAAAACATGTCCTTTATGGTGTGACGTTGTTACAATATCATCCGTGATTGGATATGTGGCTATCGTTCTACAAGTAACTTCTTTGAACTATTAGTGATCGTTGCCATTGCTCAAAGGAGTTTTAATTTCTAAAATTTTGAGAGGCTCGTCGAAAGTGTCATGGATACGAGCCTCTCGTATCCATGACACTCCATGTCTTCATGAAACACAAAATTGCCGTCACAAGCATAAATCACGTCCTACGAAGGGCTTTATCTAAGTGAAATCTGTAGTCGTTTTTATGTTTTCTTATGGATATGGCGTCTTTTCTTTGTCGGGTGGAGGCTGGTAAGCTTGTGTGTGTGTTTAAATGGCTTCTAATAGAGTTGTGGTCAGATAAGTGTAACGTAAGGCGTTTGGATAGGCATGTAGCCGTGTGACCGATGTAATTTTTTATGAACTCGGTTTGATCAGGAACACAGTTATTTAAGGGGCATTTGAACTCATAATCTTCATACGTGGTAATTTTGATTTTGCTGGTGTGTTGTTATTTTGGGGATAAGGTTAGCTGTTTTAAATTTTTTGTAGTAGATAATTTGATTTTTTTGTTCAGGTCAATTGGGGTAGTGTATTTCTTTATGATATTTCTAAGTGAAGATTCACCTTGTTTGTAGTTGATGTGTATTTGTTTTTTGTAGAAATTATTTATATTATTTTGGACTGTGTGTTCACTATCGTTGTTATTTGTGGGAAAATAGTTTAATTTGGTGATCTATAAGGTACTTAGGGAAGCGATTATTAACTAGTGTGTGTTTCGCATTATTGAGTTCTTTAAGGAAGAGTAGTCGAAAGTATAAATTCTGGTGTGCTCTTTTTAGGAAGTTTTTAATCACTGCTATTTTGTATCTGAGTCGACATTCACTTTTAAAGTTTCTGCTAGTGTTATATATATATATATATATATATATATAATGAGGTGATAAAAAGTGTTGTTACAATATTCTACGAGAAAGTCTTAGAATTAGAGTTTATTTTTTTGACTAAGTTCGTAGGTAAAGTTAAAGACAGAGTTTTGTCAAATGTGATGTTGAGATTATCTATTTCTTTAGTGTTATTTGCTAAAATAAAAATGTCGTCTATGTAGCGAACATATATTTTCGGTTTACAGACCTGTTTAAACATCATATTTCTTATATGGGACAAGTAATAATTGGAGAAGCATGGGCCGAGTGGATTTCCCATACTAACACCATTAGTTTGGGTGTATGAAAAACTTGGTAATCCGTATGGGTAGTCCCAAGGAGGATGAAATCCTGAGAGCTCAATGTAAATCCAGATCTAATAATTTAAAGAAATTTAAAGTATTATCTGATGATCCAGCGTCCCTTAAAAGGGCTCTGGTGAAATAAGTTATTATAATGGAACCTTAAACTGGTCTGTTTTACTTTTATATATATATATATATATATATATATATATATAAAATTGCTTTTTCTCTTTTAATGTTCTATAATTAAATTTTGAGAGTGTATTTTTATCTTCTTTCATCTTAAAATTGATCATTTTAAATATACCACTCTTTAACTATTAATAGTAATAATAATATTAACGAAATCCCTTTAATAATGAAGCACTTCAGAAGTCACCTAAAGTTAAACTTTAACTATAAAACCAAACTAAAATCTAAATAAATTTCAAACGTTAAAATATAGGTAATGATTGAGAAATGTATGTGTGTATATGTAATTTATGTATGAAGATGGATGAACATTTGTGTATATTGTTGTACGTGTGTCTATGTGTGTATTTGCACATGTAAATGGACGTATGTATATGTGGATTTGCATGAATATGTTTTTGTGAGATACATATAAGAAGAAAACGAAATCTTTAATATTACCCTCAAATATTATTAAATATTGAAACCTAAACCTTAATTAAGTTTACCCATATAATAATACAGAAAAATTGCATTCATAAATTAGATTTAAAGTAAAACTAATATAGATGTTATTGTTACCAAAATTTTTTACAATATTATGAAAGTACAATTGGTCGGGTAAATAAACTATTATAATTTTAAATATTTCTTTTAATATGTTCTCGATAAATGTGCTAATAAAAATAGTAGTTAACTTATATTAAGTCCCTAAACTATTTACTTAAAAATTAAATGTTTAAATTGATAACATTCATCATTTTTTATACATCTAAATTTCTATCAAGCATTGAAATCTATCTTTTACATAATTTTGTTAAAACAAAATTACAGCCTCTTTCGATTCACTTCCCTCTCCCCCTCTCTCTTTGCCGTAACACTCATTTAGATATATCTGTATTACTGTTGTCTATCTCTTTTCCATTTTTCCTTTTCTTTTCCCCCCACTACCCTCCCATTCCTATATATCATTTCCGTTAAGTTAACCATCTAAATAGGTCACGATTAGGGTCACTCCTCCTACCCCAATATAAAACATGCTTAAGAGAAATATGAAATTTACCCCTCCCTATACTCTACCTTGTCTCGTTAACTACAACTATCACCCTCCCTGTTAAATTACAAAAATTACACTACCCATCAATTTCTAATCCCATTTTTCCTTTCATTTCGTTGTTGGAATTGTTACCTGATGATCCGGAGTCCTTCAAAAAGGATTTTGGTGAAATAAATTATTGTAATGGTACCTTAAAGTGGTCTGTTTTTTCATTAAATATTAGCTCTGTATTCACATTGAGCTCTTAGGATTTCATCCTCCTTGGAATTACCCATTCGGTTTACCAAGTTCTTTGGAATTACCCATTCGGTTTACCAAGTTCTTCGTAACTCAAATATATATATATATATATATATTAAAGACATTTTTATGTTTAACGTTCTTTTTTTATATACAAGTATTTAAGTAATGTTTGTTTATAATAAACAGTATTAAATAACATTTACCGGCCTGAATGTCCGAGAAATTTTCATAGAAAATATTCGTCCTTTGACAGGATTCGAACCTGCATCCTATACGGAACCGTCATTTACGCTGACGTGCCTTGACCGCTCGGCCACAAAGGATCGTTCGGTTGGCAAGGTTGAATTTACTAATTATAAACTTCAATTTTCCATGAATCTCGTACATTCATAACTGTTCATGGCGTATCAAGGCACGTCAGCGTAAATGACGGTTCCGTATAGGATGCAGGTTCGAATCCTGTCAAAGGACGAATATTTTCTATGAACATTTCTCGGACATTCAGGCCGGTAAATGTTATTTAATACTGTTTATTATAAACAGAGCATTTACTTAAATACTTGTATCTATAAAAAAGAACGTTAAACATAAAAATGTCTTTAATAAATAAATTGTCGGACTTTGTCCATTTCTTAATATATATATATATATAGATAGATACACCTAGTGAGCCAGACAAACCTACCTAGGTTTCACCTAAACGGATCGTCAGGGAAAGTTTGGCCATATATATATATAGTAAAGTAATGAAAATCTTGGTAATCCGTATGGATAATCCCAAGGAGGATGAAATCCAGAGAGCTCAATATCAAATCAGAGCGATTAATTTAATTTAATGAAAACATACTACTTTAAGGGTCCATTTGTCATAATTTATTTCCCCATGGAATTTCTTTTTCCTGGCTGATCAGACCACACTTCCAAGGATGAAAAAAAAATGAATTTAAATTTACATATAATTTTTTGCAATTTTGTGGGCTATTATTAAGTTGATGTAAGGTGATATCGGGTGTTGTGAGAGATAGTGTGACAGACATGGTCGAAATTAGAGAGGGAAGGGAGAGATAGGAATGCTTTTAAATTTATTTTTATTACAATATTTAATAGTGAGGAAGAGGGGTAAGGATCAGACGTTGACCTATTTAATAGGTCAAGTCATCAGAAGCTATATAGAGAGAAAAAAAGAGAGAAGTGAAGATGTAAGAAATAAGAGATGGGATTATTTCTTACATCTTTATTTCTCTCTTTTCAAATAAATCTATAAGTACAATTAATGAAATTCCTGTGTAACAGAATTTACCTCGTATATGAATATTTATTTAAAAAAGTTCTAATATTTGTTCGTGTGAAGTGTTATAGAGTTCTTCAGTAATTAGTGTGAGACAGCGTCAATAGACTTCGTTGAAAGAGAGTCACCGAACTTGAGAAACGTCCATCTCTGTCTGACGTGGATCGAATAGAACAGTCTCCTTAGGTAATTGTCCAAATCGTGTAACAGCAAAATTGTCCATTTGTTATATTAAGCTTAGGCCCATTGTATCTTAGAAATGATTAAAGATATCTTACAGGAATTCTCCAAGGTTTTTGTAGCACTATTGAACAATAAGAATTTATTTAGGTTTAAGGTGAGAAGATGATTCCTCTTGCTGTTGTGACCTTCTGATCCAGTTTTCCTCTCTACAGTCCCCTCTTTTTGAAACTTATCCACCGTTCTCCTGATGGTTCTTGAATGGACATTGAAGATGAAAGCCAGAGTATGAATGTTGGTACAATTACTGAAGGACTGAATAATCTTTTTCGTCTCACCATTGCTCATTTGGGAAGACACAAAACGATTTTAACCTGTTCTCTTTCTAGCTGAATAACTCAAATGGTATCAAGATGACTAAACGTCTTATCTGAAAACCTGGAAAGAAGTAACTCGATTAGTTTCGTGTTTTTTTTTTGTTTGTTTGTTTGTTTATTTTTTATATATAGATATTAAGCATTATTTGGGATAGACAATTATCTCATGCAGTTACACGATTTGGACAATTATGCTGTTATATATATATATATAGATGGGTGTGTGAAATGTGTATACATATATATATATATATATATGTGTGTGTGTGTGTGTGTGTGCATTTTATTATATATATTATTTATATATTATATATGCGCGGTACTTACTGGAAAGCACTCAATATCAGTGACAGAGCTAACATATTTAGTTTTTGTGAGTTTGTGTCCCTGGGTTTCACGCTTTTGCGATTGTCAGAAAAACTCTGACGATAGCAAAAGCGTGAAACCCAGGGTCACAAATCACATCATCAACTAATATATATATATATATATATATATATATATATATATATATATTTGCAGACAACTTTTTTTTTTTTTTTGCTTAGTCTGAATTTAACGTAAGTCATATTCGATTGGTTGATCACGGTAAGCCTTCAAGCCTATTTTTTCTAAAATAGAGGATGTATTTTGATTTTAAAAATTAATTGTTCATTCGTTAGTAATTTACAATCGCCTGAGGTGACGCATTAATATGCGTTGAAACAAGACCACAACTATGTAGCGATTTTTAATATTTACTATCCTAAAATAAATAATATTTTGCTCTACTCTATATTGAGCCCTTTTTTAAAATGAAATGTTACGAACGTTGGAATTGTACTCTATTCGTCCTCATCTTACCTTGATATATGAATGTAAGTATATATATATTTCTGCTGTTACACCGGTAGATTGTGAGTGAATCAAGTCTTGTGTTTCGAACACGCAGAAAAAGTCTGGGTTAGTCTTAAAATTGCTTCCTGATATTTGAATTGTTATCACCGTCGAAACTAACAGTCTTATCTCATCGCTGGAGAATTGCAACACCCATGCAAGTCACTCAACTATTCAAATAATGCTTACCTCGCTTAGAAAAACAGAATAATCCGTTTTCTATTGCTATTCTTTAATAAACTAATCTACTTTAAATTTACACGTTTAGAATAGGACATTAAACTTTTGATGCATCTCGTGTTTTCCTTTTCTTCTTTCTGACGAGCTGTATTCCTTAGTTCCACCAGTTCAGACCTTCACAGCTAGGCTCACCAAGCCACTGGGACAAATCATCCCCATTCTCTTCGAGAAGGAAGTTCAATACGGACAGCTTCTTTCCAACAACCTCTACTTTATGGAATAAACTTCCATAAGGATGCTTCCCCGATCACTGCGCAATCTTAACCGCTTTTCATGTCAACCGTAATTTATCCTTATACTCTCAAAATCCACAAATCCTCTTCTTGAGATCCATTTAATGATCTCATTCCGTAAGCGTTTACCGTGAAAATATTCAGATAGATAGATAGATAGATAGATAGATAGATAGATAGATAGATAGATAGATAGGAACAGAGAGAGACTTATCTATATATATATGAACAGATTGAGATAGATAGATAGATAGATAGATAGATAGATAGATAGATAGATAGATAGATAGATAATTTGTTTTGGTTTTACAAATTCTTTTTTACATGATATTTTTCCCTGCAGTTGAAATGTGCCATTTGGAAAAGAAAACAGGCTCGTGCCGAGCGCAAATATCAGCCTGGTATTATGACATGGAGGACAACACTTGTAAGCATTTCTATTATGGAGGCTGCGAGGGAAATGGAAATCGATTCCAATCAAGGGGAGAATGTGAAAGTATTTGCAACTCGAATGGTAAGCATCCTCATTTCTTTGTCCACACACACACACACGCGCGCGCGCGCGCGCACGTGCACGCACGTATACATACACTACAGGCTAAAAGTTTGAAGCCGTTTTCCGGATTTCGAAAAATCGCCTAAAAATTGAAGATTGCAAGCCTTTTTCAAAATTCATTTACTAAAATATTTTAATCTAGGGTATGACGATAAACTGCAATCGGCAGCAACCACCTCTTAATTGCTGTTGTTCCTAGGTTTTTTTCTGACCCGGAGTGGTAGCACCTGTTAGGGTCCCAGTTATGGTCAAATAGTGAACGCAAAAACAAAATACTATGAAAATATAAAAATTCATTTTTATACTAAAAATACCAGCAATAAATTTTGATATCAACATTTTAAAAGCAAAACGACCAGCAATACATTTAATAGCAAAATGACTGACAATACATTTTATCTGTAGCTGAATTGCGTTCAAAATATGTTTAATAAGTCTTCCTTTGTCTTTATTCATATATATATATATATATATATATATATATATATATATATATATATATATATATATGTATATAAATAAAAAGAAAGAACATAAGATATAAAATCCGGTGTTCTTATAGATATTTCATTTTCAAAATTCTCAATGCATTAATATTATAAATTAATTGATTTAAAAAATGGTTATTTACTAATTTTTATTTTTCAAAATGAAATAGAACTAACTTTTAATTTTTTTTGCAAAAAATAAAATTTTTTAGCTTTATTTTTGAAACATGGTTGGAACTGGAAAAATAACCATATTTTAAATCAATTAATTTATAAATATATATATATATATATATATATATTCATTCATTTCTGCAGTTAACTGCTACTAACAAACAGAATTTTTTTTTCCTGATGATGGCCATGCTGGCCGAAACTAGTCAAGGAATCTAATTGAAATAATAAAAACGAAAGAATATTAATATACAACCCAGTGTGTCTGAAGATTTTAATTTTTTAATATTTATTATTGTTTAAAACACACACTCTCACACACACACATATATATATATAATTATTTTTTTATAAAAAAAACTTATAACATAAATATGTTATAAAATCACTACAAAAATAGCCATTCCGTTTCAACACCCTCGGTGTCTTATCAAGTGATGATGTTGAAGATAAAATAAATGGTTTTAAAAGTTTCATATTAATTAACGATCCTTCGCTAGGAGAAAACATTGTTACAAAAGCTAGAATGACCAATCAAAACCCAAGTATAGGAAGATTCAAAAGCTTGACAACGAAATCATGTTATAATAGCTATTCAGATCTTTAAAATACGGGTAATATTAAAAAGAATCTATTCTAACCAATAATTATTAAATTATATGATAGAATTTGATATTAAAATTAAAAACTGCCAGTTTTAAAATTCAATTTTAATCACTATTAAGTTTAAAAACTATAAAATTACTGAGGAGAAAAGAAAAAATACATATGTTATTCAATTTATTTCTTCGTTGAAATTACTTTAGAACAGACGCTAACAATATCCGGTCATTTGACAATAGAATATTTGAATCCCAAGTGTATGAATAGGGTCTTAAACTCACGCGCAAAACAACAAAAACACAATCAGATTACAATACATAATCACCCAGACATATGTAGATATATATACACACAAAAAAGCAGCGAGACAGGAACATCTCCACAGCTCTTTATGAAAAAAGAAAACGGGGAAACCAACACCTACACACACACAATTAAAAGTGAATGCACTCTCCATACACATAAACACCGATAAATACATGTACACACATCCACAGACATTAACCTTGACAATCAGATACCATAACCGATAAATATTTAAGACTGAACGTATCATTAAACAAATGCTAGCCACTTATTAAAATATAACATAAGCGTGCAAATATACAAAGATAAAAGTGGTTAAAATTAATGTTATTTAAATAATATATTAATTTTAAAAAATTCCAAAACCACAAATATCAATAAAAAACATATTTTAATCATATAAGTTGATAATAGTTTCATTATATATATTAAGCGAAGGAAAACAGGATAAAGAAAACCTACAGAAATAAGTGTACTGTCATACGTATATACATATATACACGCGGCAGCAAACACCAACTAACACACATATACATACATACATACATATACATATATATACTATACATGTATATACACACACAGAAATACATACATATAAATATATAAACATATACGCACATATACATATCTATCGCCCACGTGACGACGACGTGATCATTTTTAAACGGAACGCTGATCTTATAAAAGATTTCAATTATCTGTTTGGATTGGTATTGCTTTTATGTCCATCGTCTTTTTAATGTTGAATTGTATATGGTCGATGTTAATTATGTTTTATGAATATGTCCTGAACATGGTCTATTAGACCGAAACGTCCGACGTTGACATTAAACATTAAAACAGCCTAATCGCATATTAGGATTTTTGTTTGTTTTTTTCAGTATATTTTTCTTCATATCTATGATAACAAGTACACATACACATACATACATATAAACATATATACACACATAGACTAACTACTGTGGCAGTAATGACATACCAAAGTTTCCATACCTACACATACACACAAACAATCTCATATATAATAGGTGTCAACACACACATATACATCAACAAACATACATATATATATATATATATATATACACATACATACATATCTTCATATAAACATATACATAAATATACCTATCTATAATAACATACACCAATATATACGTACATACAAATAAATACAACGACAATCAACCAAATAAATATATAAACGCACATACATATACATACATAAACATACATCCAAATATATGCACACACCAATATACATATACCCTAACATACATATATAAACACATTCATTCAAACAGAAATATACGTATATATAAATTTAAATACACAATAAAATAGGACACATACATATATAAATATATACGAATACATGCACACATATATGTATATACACATACACACACATATATATATACATATATACAGTGGCACAAAGCCGAAATTAGGGGGCACCCAGTGAGGAACTCACTCACTCAGTCGCAATTGATCTAGCGAGCCAAGCTTGCTAACCATTACACCACCTCAAGGTGTTTATATATATATATATATATATATATATATATATATATATATATATACACATACACAAATACACATACATACACATCAACATTTTTTAACGTCTTCTCTTCTTATCTTCCACACCCTCTCACCTTATACACACACACACACACACACACACACACACACACACACACACACACACACACACATATATATATATATATATATAAACAAAAAACAAAAACAACAAAACAACATATAAATACACTTATATACAATCCTACACATTCCGCAGTACAAACACACAAACCTACACGCAAATAAATATATACACCAACACGAATAACACTATGTAGGTAAACAATACACATTCATATCGTCAGGGTGACCATCAGGCAATAAATATACTAATCTATTAAAATTACAGCGACATATCATTATCATTTAATGTATACGACCCCTACACTAAGTTAAATTTATAACGGTGTTTACAATTAACAGTTAGTTCATATCTTTGATTTAAGAGATCATCCTTGTTGTTAAATCTAATAATTTGACACCTATTATATATGAGATTGTGTGTATGTATGGAAACTTTGGTATGTCATTACTGCCACAGTAGTTAGTCAATGTGTGTATATATGTTCGTATGTGTATTGGTGCGTGTATATATGTGTTTATATATGTGAGTATGTGTGCATAAATGTGTGTATATATGTATGTATATATGTTTATATGTATGTGTACTTGTTATCATAGATATATATATGTGCGTATATGTTTATATATTTATATGTATGTATTTCTGTGTGTGTATATATATGTATATATATGTATATGTATGTATGTGTGTATGTATGTATATGTGTGTTAGTTGGTGTTTGCTGCCGCGTGTATATATGTATATACGTATGACAGTACACTTATTTCTGTAGGTTTTCTTTATCCTGTTTTCCTTCGCTTAATATATATAATGAAACTATTATCAACTTATATGATTAAAATATGTTTTTATTGATATTTGTGGTTTGGAAATTTTCGTTTTAATATATTATTTAAATAATATTAATTTTAACCACTTTTATCTTTGTATATTTGCTCGCTTATGTTATATTTTAATAAGTGGCTAGCATTTGTTTAATGATACGTTCGATGTGTGCATGTGTGTGTATATATATATATATATATATATGTGTGTGTGTGTGTGTGTGTGTGTGTGTGTGTGTGTGTCTATTTTGTTGTGTGTATAAATTTATATATACGTATATTTCTGTTTGTATGAATGTGTTTATATATGCATGTTAGGGTATATGTATTTATGTTATAAATTTTTTTTATGAAAAATAATTATATCTGCTCTACTTTGTATTGAGCACTCTTTTAAGAATTGTTGGTTATTGGATTTCATTCCGTATACACCAATTATATACTTATATATATATATATATATATATATATTATAAATTAACTGATTTAAAATGTTTTCTCTACACAGTAATAACCATGTTTCAAAACCGGAAGCTAAAAACTTCAAATTTAATATATATATTATTTCTAAGATTGAAACTATTCATATCGGTAATCTTCAATGTATTTTTTTTCTTTTTCGTCCATTCCTAGATATTTGTCAGCTGCCAAAAGAATTCGGTATCTGCTACGCCTACAGTGAACAATATTACTTCAACACTCAGACAAAACGCTGCGAGGATTTTGTGTATGGAGGCTGCGGTGGAAATGCTAACAGATTCAGTTCTCTTGCGAAATGTCTCGCTTTATGCCATTCTCTGATCGAACAGACAACAACTCAACCGACAACCGGAGAGCGTGTCGTTTTCGCAAACCCAGGTAAGTTAAATAAGCAGTTCTCGACACATGCTAGTGCTATGATCAACAAAGCCATTGCCAGCTAATGCTGTATGCTATATTTTTGGTCGTCTGAAAGACAAAACTTAACTTTGTAACTATGTTATTTACCTAACGTAGTGCGATTGTTAGAAAAATCGCAGACCAATTCGCTACAGTACAGTACCGCCAAACGCGTCACCTCACGCCAAATTAAGTTAAACATAGAATCACCATTATGATTAATTCATTCGTGGGTGGTCTTGTTGATGAAAAACGATTAACCAATGCTCTACTATCAGCATGATTAGGGTTAGGGTTAAGGCTGGGGATTAGGGTTAGAGTTAAGAGTTGTGGTTAATGGTTAGTGTTTAGTTAGGGTTTAGGATTAGGGTTAAGGGTTAGGGTTAGGGTTAAGTTTAGGGTTAAGAGTTAGGGTTAAGGGTTAGAGTTTAGGGTTAGGGTTAATGGTTAGGATTTAGGGTTATGGTTTAGGGTTAGGGTTAAGGCTTAGGGTTAGAATATTAAACTAAAAGCTTTAAATTGAGGTTCACACTGTACAAGTCGAGGTAGACAGTTACAGATCACTCTTTATGTGGATCTGGGGAAGGGTTAGGGTTAACCTTAGACTTGGTTAAGGTTGTTGTGATCCGGAAAACATCATCTTGGGAGTCAGTTCGAAAAAGCAGTATGTCTCTGAGAAAAAGCGTTCTCGTGTGGAACTTACTTCTCACCGATGTAATATGGATGGAATGAGGCTGGTTCGCTACAATGTGCGAAGCATGGCGAGTTAAGCAGCGAAACTTCGAACTGGTGAAACTAAGGAACGTAGTTCGTCTGATCACTTTCTATAGTAGTAGCGTTAAAGCAGCGAGAGGGCTTGCGACATTTTGTCAATGAGAGAGAGAGAGAGAGAGAAGGGTGGAAAATAATTCGTCACTCACAAGTACGTGGCAGGGACGCTTTTGAAACTTGAAGATGAAGAGTGAGCAGCTCTTGTCCAAATATGACAGCACTATACCATTTTTGGTCGGATCTGGCTCTTGCAAAAGTATAGCGCAGCACAAGGAATCCGGAACTGGAACCGACCATTTTTCCTGCATCTTTAGCAATGGATCATATGTACGAGTTCCACTTGAGATCTGGGATAGGATTAAGGCCCAATAGACGCTCGAGGCACAGGACCTCCTCCAGGGAACATACATTCACCGTGATTGGTGGTAGTTGGGGGTTCGATCGGCGATAATGCAATGTAACTAGTTTGGTTCTCGAAACATTAAATGTAACCAGCCAGTTTTTCCCTCACTGATCTATTAAAGCAAGATCAGATGAGAGATCCGCTGCCAATCTCGGGCCATCTCGAGTTTTGGAGGCGCACTCGTTCTTAAATGGCCTCGTCAAACCGAAACTTTCATATGTCATACATGGTGACACGATCGTTCAGAAATATCTAAACTTGTGGACTGGCGCTACATAATCACAAAGAACTGTTACCAAATAACAAAGAGCCTATCACTTGAGGACTTTCAACAACAGCAACAACTAAAATGGATAGCAAATGTAACTTGACGGGAAAATAATAACATAATAAAAATATTGACATTCCACACTAAATCAAACAAAATGTTAGGAAAGAAGACACATTAGGAGAAGAAAGAACAATAATAGCTACTGGACATGGAAAATTTATTTTCCTGTCACAAATTACCGTCCTGGGTATGATGATAAACTACATCCAGCAGCAAGGCGGGAGAATGGATGTTTTGAAGAGCGTGGAACCGCCTCTTAACTGCTGTTGTTCCTAGGTCCAACCTCACCTGGGGTAGTAGGTCCCAGCTATGGATAGATAATTAACCCCAAAACTGGGTTCAAAGCACTATGAAAATATAAAAATAGATTTTTATATTAAAAATACCAGCAATATATTTTTGGAAAAAAATAATACTAGCAATACACAAAAACACTCTACACACTCGACAAAAACATTCTACAAAAATACGTCAATGAAACCTGACTGACAAATTGATTTATTCAATGACTACATATTCTATTCATGCGAACGTATCCTAAAAATTTGTCGGCATTAAATAACCCACTGATGCGTATACGTCTATATATCAAATTTCTATTGGGAGTGCAGTAACTACCTGTGGATTGCACTAAATTTCAAACAGTGAATTTACTTTTTGATAAATATAGACACACACAGACACACACACAAATTTTGTCCATAAATGCAAAAACGTCAAGACTACTATGTAATTTACTACTATCGGATTACCGGGTTACTGATGACTAAATGCTTCTCCTCCAGTCTTTTATGGTAACGAGTTTGGCGAGGCACCTAGTTGGACTAAAAATAAAACTTACCAAAGGGTAGATAAATCCTTTCATAGAATCAGCAATCACAGTTGCAGGACTGTTGAAGCCCAGACGTGCGGTAAGCTCGCTAGAAGTAGTGGACAATCTAATCACATATTTACTGCATTGTCCTTGAACATGAGATGTCGACACGACCGAGTTCCACATTCGTTATACATTACGTCCGAAAATTATTTTTAAAACAATTTTTATGTTTATACATTCTTTTTATAGATACAAATATTTAAGTAAATGCTCCGTTTATAATAAACAGTATTAATAATATTTCCCGGCCTGAATGTCCGAGAAATTTTCATAGAAAATATACGTCCTCCGACAGGAATCGAACCTTTATCCTATACGGAACCATCATATAGCCTGACGTGCTTTTACCGATTGAGCCACAGAAGAGCGTTTCAGTTAGCAAGGTCTATTTTACTGTTTTTAAACTACAATCCTCCATGATTTTCTCTCGTACATTCATATCTGCTCGATGCGCATCCAAATATAAACAAATGACGTCACACATTATGAAATGGACAAAGTCCGACAATTATTATCTGTCTTGTTAACAGTAAAAGGTTTCGTTGTCTGTCATAACATTCTTAGATATATCTCATTAGTGCACTGTTATAAAAAGACAATAATTACTTATTTTATTTTACAGTAGAAGTTTGTCACCTGGAAAAAGATGTTGGACCGTGTCAATCTCAGATTCCAGCCTGGCATTATGATGCTACGGAGCACCAATGCAAACGATTCTATTATGGCGGCTGTCAAGGCAATGCCAACAAATTCGACTCCAAAGAAGAGTGCCAATCTAAGTGCAATGCTCGAAGTAAGTCACAGGTTCTCTATTTCCGATTTCTAAAAATATAGTAAAATAACATGCTCGAAACATAATATTCACAATATATATATAGATATACAGTCATCTACATACAAGCAGCTCATCAGTGTGGCTAGACATCCGATTGCTTTAAGCCTGGATCGAAAATCAACCGATTTGACTTCAGTCAGTGATTCTACTCCTAAGCCATCGACGCATGACAGAGAATGAGGAGGAAATTTTTAACGTATATATACCTGATGCATACAACGCCAGTAGATAAGAGCGCTCAATTCATAACTGAAGAGCGATGCGTTAATAGCAGGAGCAGCCACTGTTTTGAAAATTACCCTTTCTAAATAGTGTCCAATCGGCTAACGAGAGCATGCATACATATATGTATATATATATTCACACACACACACACACACACACACACACACACACACACACACACACACACATATATATATATATATATATATAATTAAAATCTTGGTAATCCGTATGGATACTCCCAAGTAGGATGAAATCCGGAGAGCTCAATGTTAATTCAGAGCGATTAATTTAATGAAAACATACACTTTAAGTGTCCATTGGTTATAATTTATTTCCCCAATGAATTTCTTTTTCCCTGGCTCATCACACCACACTTTCAAGTGTCAAAAATGAATTTAATAATGAATTTAAATTTTCCTATATTTTTACACACTTTCGAGGGGTAGTAGTAAGTTGATGTAAGGTGATATATATATGTATGTATATGTATATGTGTTTATGTGTTTGTGTGTGTGTATCGTTAGGGAGAGAGAGAAAAAGAGAGATCCATACATACATAGTGGGGACATAGAAATCCACAATGCATGGAGACATTCAGTTTCATGCATGAGCCTTCAGACCAAATTGATATCCGACCACATCGATCGCAATCAAGATCACAGTTCATATCTCTGCACCGGTTTAATTGTATATTTCATAATCGTTTAAATGGCTGATGTGGACTACATATGCTTTTGAATTCAGTGTTGTTAATCTCCTAGATTGGATGCCAGCCACGGCTAGAGCTTAGCCCGCCCTCGCATTAAACTCATCTGGTGGGGAGAAGGAGATTATCATACCATTTCTAAGGTTAGATCAGCAATCTAAAGAACTCCACTGGAATTCGAACTTAACACTTTCTTATTCCGAACCGCTAACCACGTCACAACCTACACATTCTACAATCGTTCAATCTCCAATATTGAGCAATCGTCATCATAAAAATAGCAACAACTAAAAACATATATAGATATTTAAATAGAAAAAAATTTATGTTGGACAACCGTTTTTATTTATACAATGTTCTCTATGTGATTACGATTGTTTCGAAAACATATTAATAACGTGTTTGCCACTTTTGATGAACACGCAATAGCACGGTTGAAGTTATGCTTGTAATGGCGTTGGTGATACGTTTCTTGAGATGATTTATGTCGTGTATGTTCACCTGATACACCATGGCCTTCAAGTGTCCCCCAAAGATAAAAATCAAGAGGGGAGAGTTCTGCGGATGTTGGAGGCCACTTCACAGGACCATGCCAATCAATCCAAGCAACCGAAAACTACTGATCGAAATACTGAGGCACTTGCATTTTTTCTTACGTATTGAAACTTATAGCCCGCTCTCTCTATCTCTCTCTCTCTCTCTATATATATATATATATATATATATATATATATATATATATATATATTGATAATATTAGTCGTCAATATATCTATATATATATATATATATATAATGGACTCTCCCGTCGGGTTCGACGTATGAGGATATGACAGCTTAGTTGATTCAGTTATGAAATTTTGTGCGATAAACTTAAGTAGCATTTAAGACCCGCTAGTGATTTACAAAGGAGGCTACATATGGAGCAAGAGTAAGGATTGTCAGATGAGATCATTGTTAGATTGGCTGACCTTATAGATCTTGCTCTTGCAAGATGATTCAGACAAGCAGATTGAAAACTGCTGAGTCCACTAAAATATGTTGATTTCCATTCTACCCGTTCCTAGGCTAAGCGCTCAAGGGTGTTATGTGGTATATTGACAGCTGACAAGTTGCTTTTCAGCTTGTCTTTGTATCTTAGCTATGGGTGTCCTACATTCCTGTAGCCCTGATCTAACTGGCTGTACATTAGGATCTTGGGTATCCTGTCGTCAGACATTCTCAAGACATGACCAGTCCACAAATGAATTTGTAGGTCTGATTATTTGGATTGTGATTACGATTCCAATGTAATAAATTATAACCATGGAATATTAGTATTTGAGCCTTTTATATTATATATATATATATATATATATATACCGGGTTAAACAGTGAACTTATCCAATCTACACAGATTATGAGAGAATTCGAAGTCCTACTAGAATTCATTATTGGCATCCACAATCTTAACAACATTAGATGTGCAGATGACACAATGTTGATAGCAAGCACAGACAGGAAACTACAAGAACTCCTATAGAAGGGAGTGAAGGAAAGCAAGAAGAAAGGACTAAACATCAATTGCAAGAAGACGGAATGCATGGTTGTTAGCATGGTTGTTAGCATGGTTGTTTGCCCAAAATGCAAATTACAAATTGGAGATACCAAAATTAAACAAGTACAACAATTTAAATATCTGGGAAATGTTTTAACAGGTGATGGAAAGAGCCACACAGATATCCGAAGTCGTATTGGGATAGAGAAAGATGCCTTCCAAAAGCTAATTAAAGTATTAAGAAATGGGAAAATTTCGTTAGAAACAAAGAAATATATACTGAACTGTTATGTAATATCAGTCCGATTATATGAGATTGAATAATGAACGATCTCCTCAGAGATGTAGAAGAGACTTGAAGTAAGAGAAATGTGGTTCTACAGAAGGATATGATTAGGTGAATGGTAGGTGCCTGAATTTTACTAAGTTTCGATGAGTGGAAATTAATTTACGAAAGGGTGTGGGACTTGTGTGACCAATGTGAGAATTTAATATTTTAATTATTGATATTGAGATGAAATCTCCCAAAGCATAGGTGAATTCAGAAAAACAAAGGCATTTTTATAACAACTATTCTTCTTTCTTTGACAAGGCATCTGTCAGCTACCAAAGGAAAGTGGACAGTGCTATGCTTACAGCGACCAGTATTATTTTAATTCAAGAACCAAACATTGTGAGCAATTTGTGTACGGTGGATGTGGAGGAAATGCCAACCGATTCTCTTCAGCTGCCAAATGCATGGATGTTTGCCAATCACTCATTGAAAGAGAGACCCTACCAACGCCACCTGTAACAGACAAACCTCTGTCCCATCCAGGTAAGTAAATTACAGACATTAGTACGAATGTGTTCAATTAACTGATGAATTGTTGAAAGGTAAAAATTTTCATTCATTGGAGCCTGACAGCAGCCGAGAATGTCCAAGTTAGAATTTTGTGATAACTTTTCATGACATTTATGAAAACCCTCTGACATTTTCATCAGAATTAATAACTCTTGTAACCTAGAAAAGGTTACTGAATGAGGAATAAACAAAATGGAGGTTAGAAATAAAATGGTAATCTTTATAACATCAACAAAATACAATACTCGCCAGCGGTGTGAAGTAGGTAATCCACTGCTAGTGGTGGACTACTTAGTATATTACGATATTTACCTGCCTCCCCACAAGTTAAGATGCGGCACAAGGCCAAATTTAATGTGGGGAAATCCGAGCCCATAGGCTATGGCAAAAATTGCCTTTAGACCCTACATAAACGGGAAGGGGTATTTGTCTACCTCCTCGGACGAGACTGTGCCCTTCGGCATAGCTTCGTCCGGGTTTCTCTCCGCATATTACACCCACTTACCATAGTGTTCAAAGTATCTATCAAGATTAGGACGTACCCATTAGTGTTCATAACTACGTTATATAACAATTTCTGTAAATGATATTAACTAACATATATGATGAACTATAAAAGACAACTTTTATTCAAAAACATAGTTTAAGAATATTACTGGCGGGTTATGAATAAAATTGGAGTGTTTGGTCGGTTAATATAAACGGAAATGATGTAGACAGTCAGTTGTTTGTCGATGTGTTACCAAATTTATTTTTATTTTATGTTTTTTGTAAACAAAAATTTGAAAAGAGCATAGAGTACGTGAAGTATATTGTCAGAAATAAAGAGAGAAAAGTGCAAAGATATTCACCCACTACTTTCCTTTCAATTATGACAAACAAAGTTTCTGCATTGCACTTTCTTGTGAAGAAATATCACACTAAGTTATCATGTCATAAAGCAAAATAAGCCAAAAAATATTTAAAATGCATTAAGAATGTCGAATAATACTGTGGGGGTAGGATACACAATGAATCAGAAATTTATCAGTAGGATACATGCTAAATTAGTAGCATCACTTTTATAGCTAATTATGCACTTCATCAAGGATTTTGAATGGGAGTGAAGGAGAAAGAAAGTTCAAATTATAGCCAAAGACCCAAAATGATAATAGCAAATGATATGATACATATGTCCTTTAATTCATCTAAATAGGCCTAAATCATGAATGGTCAAAAATGTGACATTTCATCTGCTACAAACTAATAGGAGAGTAGTAGAGCTAGAATGATAATAGCAAATGATATAATATAATACACCTCTACTTGAATCCATCTTGATAGGCCCAAATCATGAATGGTCATGAATCTGACACTTCATCTGCTACAATCTAATAGAAGTGAAGAAGAGCTAGAATGATAATAGCAAATGATATAATATAATACACATCTACTTGAATCCATCTTGATAGGCCCAAATCATGAATGGTCATGAATCTGACACTTCATCTGCTACAATCTAATAGAAGTGAAGAAGAGCTAGAATGATAATAGCAAATGATATAATATAATACACATCTACTTGAATCCATCTTGATAGGCCCAAATCATGAATGGTCATGAATCTGACACTTCATCTGCTACAATCTAATAGAAGTGAAGAAGAGCTAGAATAATAATAGTGCAAATGATATAATATAATACACATCTACTTGAATCCATCTTGATAGGCACAAATCATGAATGGTCATGAAATCTGACACTTCATCTGCTACAATCTAATAGAAGTGAAGAAGAGCTAGAATGATAATAGCAAATGATATAATATAATACACATCTACTTGAATCCATCTTGATAGGCCCAAATCATGAATGGTCATGAATCTGACACTTCATCTGCTACAATCTAATAGAAGTGAAGAAGAGCTAGAATGATAATAGCAAATGATATAATATAATACACATCTACTTGAATCCATCTTGATAGGCCCAAATCATGAATGGTCATGAATCTGACACTTCATCTGCTACAATCTAATAGAAGTGAAGAAGAGCTAGAATGATAATAGCAAATGATATAATATAATACACCTCTACTTGAATCCATCTTGATAGGCCCAAATCATGAATGGTCATGAATCTGACACTTCATCTGCTACAATCTAATAGAAGTGAAGAAGAGCTAGAATGATAATAGCAAATGATATAATATAATACACATCTACTTGAATCCATCTTGATAGGCTGCTACTAAATCATGAATGGTCATGAATCTGACTTTTCATCTGCTTGAACAATCTAATATTATCTGCTACAAGCTAGAATGATAATAGCAAATGATATAATATAATAAACATCTATTTGAATCCATCTTGATAGGCCCAAATCATGAATGGTCATGAATCTGACATTTCATCAGCTACAATCTAATATTAGAGAAGAAGAGCTAGAATGATAATAGCAAATGATATAATATAATACACATCTACTGGAATCCCTCTTGATAGGCCCAAATCATGAATGGTCATAAATCTGACACTTCATCTGCTACAATCTAATAGAAGTGAAGAAGAGCTAGAATGATAATAGCAAATGATATAATATAATACACATCTACTTGAATCCATCTTGATAGGCCCAAATCATGAATGGTCATGAATCTGACACTTCATCTGCTACAATCTAATAGAAGTGAAGAAGAGCTAGAATGATAATAGCAAATGATATAATATAATACACATCTACTTGAATCCATCTTGATAGGCCCAAATCATGAATGGTCATAAATCTGACACTTCATCTGCTACAATCTAATAGAAGTGAAGAAGAGCTAGAATGATAATAGCAAATGATATAATATAATACACATCTACTTGAATCCATCTTGATCGGCCCAAATCATGAATGGTCATGAATCTGACACTTCATCTGCTACAATCTAATAGAAGTGAAGAAGAGCTAGAATAATAATAGCAAATGATATAATATAATACACATCTACTTGAATCCATCTTGATAGGCCCAAATCATGAATGGTCATGAATCTGACACTTCATCTGCTACAATCTAATAGCAAAGTGAAGAAGAGCTAGAATGATAATAGCAAATGATATAATATAATAAACATCTACTTGAATCCATCTTGATAGGCCCAAATCATGAATGGTCATGAATCTGACACTTCATCTGCTACAATCTAATAGAAGTGAAGAAGAGCTAGAATGATAATAGCAAATGATATAATATAATACACATCTCTTTGAATCCATCTTGAATCCATCTGAATGATAGGCCCAAATCATGAATGGTCATGAATCTGACATCTAGGCCCAAATCATGAATCATGCTGACAATCTAATAATAGAAGTGAAGAAGAGCTAGAATGATAATAGCAAATGATATAATATAATACACATCTACTTGAATCCATCTTGATAGGCCCAAATCATGAATGGTCATGAATCTGACACTTCATCTGCTACAATCTAATAGAAGTGAAGAAGAGCTAGAATGATAATAGCAAATGATATAATATAATACACATCTACTTGAATCCATCTTGATAGGCCCAAATCATGAATGGTCATGAATGAATCTGACACAAATGATATAATATAATTCATCTGCTACAATCTAATAGAAGTGAAGAAGAGCTAGAATGATAATAGCAAATGATATAATATAATACACATCTACTTGAATCCATCTTGATAGGCCCAAATCATGAATGGTCATGAATCTGACACTTCATCTGATACAATCTAATAGAAGTGAAGAAGAGCTAGAATGATAATAGCAAATGATATAATATATATACACATCTACTTGAATCCATCTTGATAGCCCCAAATCATGAATGGTCATAAATCTGACACTTCATCTGCTACAATCTAAAGAAGTGAAGAAGAGCTTAGAATGATAATAGCAAATGATATAATATAATACATCTCTTGAATCCATCTTGAATCCAAATCTGAATGGTCATGAAGACCTTCAAATAATAGAATGAAGAAGGCTAGAATGAATATAAATGATAATATAATACATCTACTTGAATCCATCTTAATAGGCCCAAATCATGAATGGAAGAATCTGACACTTCATCTGCTACAATCTAATAGAAGTGAAGAAAGCTAGAATGATAAAGCAAATGATAATATAATACACATCTACTTGAATCCATCTTGATAGGCCCAAATCATGAATGGTCATGAATCTGACACTTCATCTGCTACAATCTAATAGAAGTGAAGAAGAGCTAGAATGATAATAGCAAATGATATAATATAATACACATCTACTTGAATCCATCTTGATAGGCCCAAATCATGAATGGTCATGAATCTGACACTTCATCTGCTACAATCTAATAGAAGTGAAGAAAAGCTAGAATGATAATAGCAAATGATATAATATAATACACCTCTACTTGAATCCATCTTGATAGGCCCAAATCATGAATGGTCATGAATCTGACACTTCATCTGCTACAATCTAATAGAAGTGAAGAAGAGCTAGAATAATAATAGCAAATGATATAATATAAACACATCTACTTGAATCCATCTTGATAGGCCCAAATCATGAATGGTCATAAATCTGACACTTCATCTGCTACAATCTAATAGAAGTGAAGAAGAGCTAGAATGATAATAGCAAATGATATAATATAATGAACATCATCAAACATGAATTGAATCCATCTTGATGAAGAAGAGCCCAAATCATGAATGGTCATGAATCTGACACTTCATCTTGATACAATCTAATAGAAGTGAAGAAGTGAAGCTAGAATGATAATAGCAAATGATATAATATAATACACATCTACTTGAATCCATCTTGATAGGCCCAAATCATGAATGGTCATAAATCTGACACTTCATCTGCTACAATCTAATAGAAGTGAAGAAGAGCTAGAATGATAATAGCAAATGATATAATATAATACACATCTACTTGAATCCATCTTGATAGGCCCAAATCATGAATGG